GGGCTACCCGGACAGCCACTCTTTCTGCTACTGTTTGATAAGTGTCCAACTTCTCCATTAATAGTTAATTTTGGCATTGCACCGTAACTATTTTCCCCTGCAATTCACATACTTGCTTCTCCAAAATAATCTTATCCTTACACATTTGTTCTCTCTGTTGATGCTACTTTTGATATGCAACCAGCAAAATCCCTCCTCGTCTCCCTAGAGTATTCCCTTCCTTCCCCTTCTCTACTGAAACCTTTTGTAAACATTTCACTACATTACGTGGTTCTGCCTCCTTCAAATAGGAGTCCCAGTTCTCACATAAACCATAGCATGACCACTCAGGGGCCCAAATACGACAAGGTTCCCATCCAGGAATACCCAGGTCTACGTCTGTCTTGGCAACATTTTTGTGTACTTAAAAAAAAGCCATTTTGTTTTGTATCCTGTGCTGTGATGCCAAATTGTTTTGCTGACAGGCACGGTACTCAACAAAATGACTATACACTAGTCATTGCAAAAAATGAAAAGTTTTTTAAACAAGCAAAATAAAATTATTGGATATATCTATAAAAAATACAAAAGAAAATTAGCAATGTATCAGATAATTACTGCAGAGAGAGAGAACAGTGATTAAGAAGAAATATATCACCAATTACCACCTAATGCTCAAAATGCAGGTCCATATGTCAGCTGGAAATCCCCGTTTCAGCCAATGCCCAGAGTCTCAGGTAACTGGAGAATTCCTAGGGTATTGGCCAGGCATCCTGGTGTGGTCAAATGTCTGTTGCAATATTGCAGATTAAAGTCTTTTAGTCTAATCAATATCATCATCAATTTAAATAAATCACTTATTGATATAAATATGTTTGGTTTGCCATCCTTAATCCTGCAGGGCAAAGTTGTATACAGGCTCAATTACGCATCTCTGGGACTGGGATTGGATCCAGGTGCCCTGAGACTCTTCTCTGAGAAGGAGTTTAGAAAGCCAGGGGATTCTTTTTGTACCTTGTGACCCGACATGGATGTCTCCCTGATTAACCTTCTCCAACGCTTCTATTCTGGACATGAGTTATGCCAGCTTGTATACAAGTCACAGCACAGTGCTTTCACAGTGCTGTGATCATCCCTTTTGCTCCTTCCCAGTGGTGTGTTGGCAGCAGACACTGAACCTCACACTTGCATGATGCAAGTGCTGTTCCTTGTTTCTGTGTACCTTGAAACAAGGCTTTTGACCATAATTCCATTTCTTTTCTTTATCTATTAATCAACCCTGCTTTGGGTAAAAACATATCAGAAGTAAAGGATAATCAGGCAATTTGCATGAAAAAAATAGGTCTGGTTGGCTTCAGTTGGTAGTTGGAAAAATCTGTTAAGAAGGATCCAATAAACCAGACTGGCCACACAGTTTCTTCGTTAGACCCTAGACAAGGAATAAAAAATGAAATTAGTCTATAACAAAATGGAGCAGTGCACTTTGTTTGCAGGGTCCCTTGCCATGGGGGGAAAGTGAGCAAGCTTAGGACAGCTGTGGATCATGATACTAGATCTTTTCATGTTTGAGGTTATGCATTTTTTCTAAAACAATGAGGATCTCAATATCTCACAGCCTTGCAAGTTTCATCAAAGAGCTCTGGGAGGAGACAAACAGATATTCAACAAGGTGAAGTGCCAGGTCCTGCACTTGGGTCACCATAACCCCTGCAGTGCTCCAGTCTTGGGGCAGAGTGGCTGGAAAGCTGCTTTGTGGGAAAGGGCCTGGGGGTGCTGGTTGATAGCGGCTTGAACATGAGCCCAGGTGTGGCCAGGTGGCCAAGAAGGCCAGGGGAACCTGGCTTGTACCAACCACGGTGTGGCAGCAGGACCAGGACAGTGACCACTCCACTGTGCTGTGCACGGGTGAGGCCTTGCCTTGAATCCTGCAGTGTTTTAGGCCCCTCATGACAACAAAGACATTGAAGGGGCTGGAGTGTGTCCAGAGAAGGGCAATGGAGCTGGAGAAGGGTTTGGAGCACAAGTCTGATGAGGAGCAGCTGAGGGAGCTGGGGGAGCTCAGTATGGGGGACCTTCTCGCTCTTTCCAGCTCTCTGAAAGGAGGGTGAAGCCACGTGTGGGTTGATCTCTTTTCCCAAGTAGCAAGTTGTAGCACAAGAAGAAACGGCCTTGAGTTGTGCCAGGGAGTTCTGGATATTAGGAAAAATTTCTTCACCAAGCGTGTTGTCTGAAAAAGTTTGCCCAGGGAAGTGGTTAAGTCACCATTCCTGGAGAGATTTAAAAGTTTAAATCCCACCATTCCTGGAGGGATTTAAAAAGGCACTTAGGGTCACTTGGCCGTGTTAGTCCACAGTTGATGTACATGGCAAAATTTCGGTAACAAGGGGCCTGCAGGTGTGGCCTCTGTGAGAACTTCTTGCTCCATGCTGGACACAGCCAATTCCAGCCAGCTCCAAAATGGACCCAGCATGAGTCAAAGCTGAGCCTACAAGCAAAGCTGGTGGCACCTTGGGGAAAACATCTTTAAGAAAGGGCAGGAATTGCCAGCTAGTGAGAGGAGCAGGGAACAACAGGAGTGAGAAACAAAAGTGGGAACAGCAAGATCAGAGGAGGAGAAGATGATCTCTGGTGGAGCAGATATTCACTGCAGCCTGGGAGAACCCACACTGGAACAGGGGAAAAGCGTGAGAGGAGAGAAGCAGCAGAAGGGAAGAACTATGTATTGACCATAACCCTCCCCACCCACCCTGCACTGCTTAGGACAGTGGTGGAGTATTCTGGAATAAATGAATAAAATTGAGCACAGGAAAGGGGAAAGTAGAGGTGTTTGTTTAGTATTTAACTTTGTCTCTCACAAGCTAAAGCTATTTTAATTGGCAAGAAATTACATACGCTTTCCCCAAATCCAATATGTTTTGCTCCTGATAGCAATTGGTAAACCATCTCTCTGTCTTTATCGCAATCCATGAGACTTTTTGTTTCAGTTTTTCCTGTTTTCTGCCTCTGCTCCATCCCACTGTGGGGGTGAAGGAGTGAGTAGGAATTTTCTTTTTAGCTAAGGCTGACACATCACAGCAAGGAGGTGAAATACTGAGGCAAAGCTGAGGTTGGGTACTGGAAGGCTGGAAAATCCTTTCTGTGTTGGCATGTTTTGGTTGCTAACACAAGGTTAGCAGAAATGTAGAAGCATAAAGCATTTGAAATCAGCGTCTTTAATTCACAGTTACACAATACTGATATTACATCTGAGGAACAATTCAGTTACTTGGACAGGCTACTCTGCAATACACAGAGTTTAGAAAGCCAGGGGATTCTGGGAGGCAGAACACACCTTCAGTATGTTCTCCTTTAAAGCTTGTTTGACTCGCTTGTTCCTGAGAGAGTAGATGTATGGGTTAAGCATCTGAGTCAACACAGAGAAGAAGAAAGAGAGAACTTTGTCAGATTCCTGTCCACCTCGCTGTGCTGGGCGGATGTACCTGTAAATAAAAGTGCTGCAAAATACCATCACCACTATGAGGTGAGCTGAGCAAGTGGAAAATGCCTTCTTCCTACCTGCAGAATATGGTATATGGAAGATGGTGATAATAATGCAGCCATAATAAACAACAGTTACTATAAAGGTACCAGGTAGGATTCCACTAATAACTATCCGCCAGTTTGAGCTTGCAGTATTGACCGTCCCCTTTTGAACTTGGAGATCTAGCACTTTATAATTCACCCCTCCATTGCACATCTCTCCAGGGTTTGATGTGCAGCCCAGCTCTGGGGTACCAATTATCTCCCTCCCAAAACACTGTTCTTCAGGGCCAGGCAGAGATCAAATGCAGGTATTCTCTGATGAAAGGAGATCACTTCCAGCCTGCTTTTGTTCACTCAGCAGCAGGGAAAGTCCCAACAAGTCCCAGCAATCCTGAGCACCACCAAACTTTTTAGAGTGCCCCAAGACTGCAGTGACAGCAACACTGTGTCCAGGTCTGCAGTTCTCAACACAAGAAGACACGGACCTGTTGGAGCGGGTCCAGGGGAGGCCACAAAGATGCTCAGAAGGCTGGAGACAGGCTGAGAGAGCTGGGATTGTTCAACCTGGAAAGGAGACGGCCCAAGGAAACCTTACTCTGACCTTCCAGTACTTAAAGGAAGGTTATAAAAAAGATTGAGTGACTTTTTACATGGGCAGATAGCGACAGGACAAGGGGGAATGGTTTTGAGGAATGAGGAGAGATTTGGGTTAGATATTAGAAAGAAGTTCTTTACTATAATAGAGTGGTGAGGCCCTGGTACAGTTGCCCAGAGAACCTGTGGATGCCCCACGGCTGGAAGTGTTCCAGGCCAGGTTGGACGGGGCTTGGAGGAACCTGGATAGTGGAAGGTGCCCCCGCCCATGGCAGGAGGTGGATGAGATGAGCTTTAATGTCCCTTCCAACCCAAACCAGTCTGTGATTCTATGATAGGGAAATGCCCTGTCTTCACTGCAGAGCCCGTCCAGGGGTATTTGCTCTCCGAATTGAGCACATCCCTCGTTTGGGAGAGAGGAGAAGGCTGGAATGATTTAAACGGGACGAATATAAACAGGAAAGTTCTGTTTCCGATTCACTGAAAAGTCGTTCCCTCCTCCAGAGCAGAATCGTTTTGCTCCCCCTTCAGGCTCCGCGTCGTGACGGTTTTTAACCAACAGCAATGAAAGCGGTGGTTTGCCTTTCCCCAGCTCCGAGCGGGACGACAGGATTTTGGCTCCTCTTGGGAGAACCGGGACAGTCCTCCTGCAGCAAACTCCCATGCACCCGCTGCGCCCCCCCTTCCCTCGGCCAGAGCGTCTCCCAACAGGATCCGCCGTTCCCAGTACGCAGGGACTGGGACGCGGGTGAGGGCGCTGTAATCCGCCTGGCAATAGGCGGAGCTCGGCGCTAATTGGCTCCTGGGCGGAGATGCTCTCTAATCTGCCTGGCAACAGGCGGCTCTAGGCTCTGATTGGCTTTTGACAAGCTGCGGGGGCGCGGACTGCACGTAACCTTCGGCGCATGCGCGGTCCGAGACGCGTGACCCCGTTGCTGCCCCGCCACGTCAGTCGGAGGCGCAGTTCCGCCGCCGCGCGTGCGCAGTGCGCGGCGCGGCCATGGCGGGGTCGGTGCGGGGGCCGTGGCGCGGCGGTTCCTGTCCGAGTACGCGGCGGCACCGCGGCGCCTCAAGGCGCTGGACGCCTTCCTGCTCTACGTGCTGCTCACGGCGCGCTGCAGTTCGGATACTGCCTTGGCGTCGGCACCTTTCCCCTTCAACTCCTTCCTCAGCGGCTTCATCTCCGCCGTCGGCAGCTTCATCCTGGGCCGGTCAGTGCCGGGCCCTGCAGGCGGCGAGGGAGCCTCGGAACCCGGCGGGGGTCCTGGGCAGCCACAGGACCCACCGGGCCCTCGGCACCTCCAGCACCCCGGGCGGGCAGGGGCTTCTTGGGGCCAGCCCCGATCCTTGTTCCTCCCGGGATCATCGCAGGCTCCAGCAGGGTCAGCTGCAGGCGCTGCTCTCCCAAAGTATCCCCAAACCCACCCTGTTCCTCTGCAGCCCCCCCAGCGCAGGGACTAACGGGCTGGGGGAGCTGGGGTGTTCACCTGGGGTGTTCGCCGGGGAGACCTTGGAGCCCCTTCTAGTGCTTAAAGAGGCTCCAGGAACGCTGGAGAGGGACTTGGGACAAGGGCCTGGAGGGACAGGACAAGGGGGAATGGCTTCCCACCGACATAGGGCAGGCTTAGATGGGATATTGGGACGGAATTCTTCCCTGTGAGGGTGGGGAGGCCCTGGCACAGGTTGCCCAGAGAAGCTCTGGCTGCCTCATCCCTGGAAGTGTCCAAGGCCAGACTGGACAGGACTTGGAGCAACCCGGGAAAGTGGAACGTGTCCCTGCCCATGGAAAGTGGTGGAACTGGATAAGCTTTCATGTCCCCTCCAACCCAAACCATCCTGTGATTCTGTGTTTCTAACACACCTAGTAGAGGATATAAGAATATCTACACTTCTGTGTGAGTCTCATCCTGCTCTGAGCCTGTTCCTCTCCGGACTCTGTTGGGCACCCCTGTGGTGTGTGCGTGTGGTGCTGTGGGAGCACTGACTCCATGACAACCCTATGCAAATCCCCTACCCGTGTCCTCCTCATCTGTAGTAACGACGGAGTAACTTTTCACTGGTGGAACAGTACCTGGACTGGGCTGCCCCAGGAAGGCTGTGCTTCCCACGAGAACCTCTTTCTGTGCTCACTAATCTCTCATTCTCTCTCTCTGCTCTGCAGTTTGCCTCCGGATCCAGATCAACCCCCAGAACAAGGGCGAGTTCCAGGGCATCTCCCCAGAGCGGGCGTTCGCCGATTTCCTCTTTGCCAACACCATCCTCCACCTCGTCGTCATCAACTTCGTTGGCTGAGCTCTGGGAGAGGCTGCTAGGTACTGATCCATGGGATCTCAAAAGGGGCAACCACAGGGCGTCAGTGTTTCTGGGGGAGAACTAGAACCAGAGTGAATCCAGGAGTCCTCCCGACTCCCAGCTGCCTCTGGGCCAAGCACAGCCGGGCTGTTGTTCTCTGGGTTGGCACAGGGTGAGGATTTACAGCTTTCTGCTTTTGAGCATGTATTTTTTGGCTTTTGTATCATTTGATAGGGCATTTAACTAGGAGTGTTAGAGAAACCTACCCACATTCCTCTCTTATGAGAGATATTCCTCATTCTTCTTTGCAGGAGGGGCTTTGGGAGCTGGAACTCCTGGGGGAGTTTCCTCCGTTTGTGAGGGTTGTCCTTTCTGGAGGCCATGGTGTGGCTGGGGTCCAAGTCTGCAAGTTCCTCCACAGATGAGGCAGTTTGGGACAGGGACAGTTGGGTTGGGAAGTGGAGGACATGCCCTGTTATTACTATTGCAAGGGGCCACAGGATCACAGGAGCTTGGAGGAATTTCCTCCCCCTTAGCAGTAACATTGCTCCTGTTGCCTTCTCTCTTTCCAGGTCTTGAATTGCTCCTGAGCTCTGATGGCAAAACCTGGCATAGGGAAGTGCAGTTCCCCAGCAGACTCTCACCTTCTGCCTTGGTGGAGGAAGGGACTCAGGTTTTTCCCCACAGTGTCCTATGGAGGGGTCTGCAGCCTCATTATGTACCTGTAATCCTTTCCGTCAATAAAACCCTGTGTGACACTGCAGCCTTTTCCCTGTTGGTGACAAATACAGAGCTTCTCCTACACCCAAGTTCTCTCCCTCTCAGGCATGACTCCCTGATTGTACACCTCTCTCTCCCTTTCTACCCAACAGACTTTTTTTTCTGTGCCCCAGTTTTGGAGGGAAGCAGGAAACAAGTTGTCATGAAAACTCAGTTGTCATCCACCCTTTTCATCTCCCTTTTTCCTGCACCTTTATCTTACAGAGTCTGTTGCCAATGTGCCCCTGGGCTTCAAAGCTGTGAAAAATTCGGGTTAGGCTGTGGTGAATGGTCATGAAGGGAAGGAGCTGGTGGGTGTTCTCCAGCATGTCCCCAGGTGTACCCACCTTCCCACAGGTCCTCCCACATCCCTTAGAGGCACATGGGCCATGTGTGGATGTCCCAGGTGGACTTAGAGCCCCACTAAGGCTTGTGAGTTGTTACAACCACCCTGCCACGGTGTCGGGGTCCCTGCACTCTGATGTATTGATGAACACAAGCATGTTGGAAGGGGCTGCCAAGCTGTCAGGGCCTCTGAGCTGCACTGAAGCTCCTCTGAGGGAAGAAGCTCCCCCCTCAGATTTAGAATCACAGAATCATCAAGGTTGGAAAATACCTTCGAAGTCATCCAGTCCAACCCTCCACCCACTGTAACCCCTAAACCATCACCCAGCACCAGATCCAGGCACCTCTTGAACACCCCCAGGAACGGTGACTCCACCACCTCCCTGGGCAACCTATTCCAATGCCTGACCACCCTAACAGTGAAAGCATTTTCTTCTAATATCTAATCTGAATCTCCCCTGGCTCAGTTTGAGGCCATTTCCCCATGTCTTCTCACTGCAGGCACGGGAGAAGAGACTGACCCCACGCTCTTCTCAGGTGTTTGTGAAAGCGATGAGTTCCTCAGACTAAACAAGCCCAGCCCCCTCAGCCATCCCTCATAAGGCATGTTTTTCATGAGCCTTGTTGCCCTTCTCTGGACACACTGCAGCCCCTCAATGTCCTTTTTTAAGTGAGGGGCCCAGAACTGAACACAGCACTCGAGGTGTGGCCTCACCAGTGCCAGGTACAGGGAAAGGATCACTTCCCTGGTCCTGCTGCCACACTGTTCTGGATACAGGCCAGGATGCCGTGTGCATTCCTGGCCACCTGGGCACGCTGTTGGCTCATATTGAGCGAGCTGTCAACCAGCACCTCCAGGTGTCTTTTCTGCAGAACACCTCTCGAGTCCCTCTTCTCCCAGCCTGTAACTCAAGCAGAATTCTTGAGGGAGGGTAGAATTGCAGGGGGACTTTTCACAAGGTTGTGTAGTGACAGGACAAGGGGGAATGGCTTCAAACTTCCAGGGGGCAGGGTTAGATGGGATATTGGGATGGAATTCTTCCCTGTGAGGTTGGGGAGGCCCTGGCACAGGTTGCCCAGAGAAGCTGTGGCTGCCTCATCCCTGGAAGTGTCCAAGGCCAAATTGGCCAGGGCTTGGAGCAACCTGGTCTAGTGGAAGGTGTCCCTGCACATGGCACGCGGTGGAACGAGATGAGCTTTCATGTCTCTTCCAACCCAAACAAATCTGGTGTTCTGTGATTCTCTGATCAATTTGGGTCCTATCAAAGCTATTCCCACATTGGAATAAGCTTCAACAAATCCATCAATACCTTCAAGCCCTGCTCCTCATAAAGTCTGTGCTCAGGTTCCTGGTCACACAAGGAGAAGGATAAGAAGAGAGGCTGGTTTGTGCACAGGGCCTTGTTTGGTGAGAGATGACAAATGTTGGGCAAGGTATTTCCTCCAACAAAACCCTTAGAAAATGTTCAAATTCATCTACCCATAGGCAGGTTTGGGGGACACGAGCTGGTATAGGGGAGAGGGTGCTAGAGATGGACCATGCAACATCTTCCCTGCCAGTGTGACAGGACTCCGGCCTGGCCGTTCATCCTCCCTTCTCCTCTGGATCAGGAGAAGTGGAAGGATTTTTCTGGATGGATTCAGTCTGTGTAAAGGGTCTGTATAGAGATCTATCAGCAATTCAAATTCAGAAATCTGACACAATTCTAAGATCTTTCCCCACCACCCACCACACTTTATAATGCATTTTCTCCCCTCCTTTCCCTGCCCACTCTATTCATAGCTCAGTCCTTCCTGCTATAACCAAAACAACTCCCCCACCCTCCCCAAGTGCAGGCTGTGGTGAGGAGGTGGGAGGGAAGGATATACTAACCTCATTCCACTTTGGCTTGTGGTCTAACGTCTGCTGTTCTTTTCCTTTCCACAGCTTCTCCCCCTCCCTGCCATGTGCCACCCCAGCCCTGCACCTCCACCCCCATTTGTGCTCCACTTTCCAGAGGAAGTGGTTTCTGTGGTCAGGTGTAGATGAGCATCAAAAGGTGACCCAGATCTTGATTGTGACGTCATGGAACTGGTGCTGTGGCCTCTTCCTGCCTCACCTGGCCCATGAGCCGCTTTCCACCTCCTGTCCTGCTGTATTATTTCCTGCCTTCGCTTTGCTCTGCGGTTTTTATTTCTCAAAATAAACAAGAAAGCACAAAGGGGACAGGGGCACATTGTGGTGGTGGGAGATTGCCAGCCTGATATCTCGAAGTGTCTTTGAACTAGACCTGCAAATTCAGTGTTTTGCAGGTCACATGCCCAGAGCCACATTAGTCAAAATATTTAACTCATCCCCCACTTGGAAAATCCTGTCACTGGGGTCGTTTAACCTGGAAGAAAGACTGAGATATAGAAACAAAGGCAGCACAGTCCTTAACCTTTGCCCTTACAGCTGGGAGTAGGTTTGAAGTGCAACATAAAAAAATTAAGATTTAAAAAGTGATGCTAAAAGTAAATGAGTATGGGAAGTTTTCTCCCACATCTCTGAAAGTTGCTTGGATGAGGTTAATCAGTTGGAAATTTGTGAAATTCAGTTACTTGCTTTATAGTTCAAATATCGTTTAAGCAGCTTCTTCAAGCTGCTTCCTGGTGATTTGGCAGATCTCATCATGAGCAGAGTGTAAGCTCCAAGAGCTGCCTGGAATCCAGCACTTAAGGAGCCACAGGCTTCCTACATCTGGAGAGATACCAGAGTGACTGTTACGTCAAGGGAGAGACAAGAGAACAAATCCCTGAACATCTGTACTATAAAATAATCAGGGCAATAGACACAGAAAAGTTAAAGTTGTTCCTTGGCAGGAGGGGTCAGTAACTTTGTCACCCTGTGATAGGCCACCTCCTAAATGGTCAGGGATGGTCACTATGATAAATGGTGACCATGGCAAGAGACCAGTGAGACACTGTCATGTTGCTGCTCAGCACTGCAGGGTCAGATCCTGGCATGGTCCTCCCACATGGAGCACCAGGACTTTTGGCTAAAAGCGTTTGAATCATGAGCCTTTATGAAATCAGCCCCATGTGAAGGCTGTGAATCCAGCAGGGTGAGAAATACCCTATGAGGGGGAATCACCCCCACGAGTCCAGCGAGGCTTTTCCCACCACTCACTTTGGGCACCAGTGTAAGGTATGAGCAAGGCTCAAGCTTGTGTTTCTGTCAGAGCACACTTCTCATTCCTCCCTCCAGAGGAATTTCTGGGGCTTCAGAAGAAGATGGAGAAATTGATGCCACAAAAGGAGAAAAATTCTTTTCCAGTCTTGCCATGGACAGATGGAACCTGGAGGCAGAGGGCGGTCGGTTGGTGTCACCACTGCAAAGTAGCTGCCTTGTCCTGCAGTGACACTCAGAAGTGGGAAAACAGTTAGAGATAAGACACTTCAGGCTCCTGTGTCCCCCACAGCAGCAGGCAGCCTGGACCCATGACTAGTCCTCTCACTGGCCAAGCATGTTTTACTAGCACAGAGTCTGTGCTTGGAGAAGAGCTCCCCTGCTCCCCTCCTTCCCCAGCCACGCTCTTCTCACGTGGACAGAGCACAGACGTCCTGGAGAGGGAATTTGTAGCTCTTCCCACCCTCCGTGGTGAATCCAACCCCTTCCCTCCTTCACCCCAAAGGCCAGGCTCGTTCCTAAAGCCCAGCTGAAGGCTGAAGCAATTCCTCAAACAACAAATATAACAGACAAACAAGTTTCTCATTTTGGTAAGAATTGTTTAATAACAGCCAAAGGCCTAAAGAAATGCCAAGACACGGTGTGGGTGCCAGTACAGTTCATGCATTAGCGGCATGTGAATGTCACAGGCATGCACTGTCCAAAGGTGGGCACATGTGGACAGGTAAATATTACAGTATATTTTTATGCAATGGTTATAAAAAGAAGTTAGGAAACCTCAGGTTGTTAGACCTAAACAAAAAGAACAAAGGGGGTTTGTATTTTTACTGAATACAAAGCCAAATCTGAAGCTGGTTTAAATTCAGGAAATAGTAAGGCCAGATAGACTTCAGAAAGTAATAATTTTTTATTATTTTTTTTTTGTCTGTGATAGTGAGGTGACAATTTCACTGAATTTAGGACTTCTGGGACACATAGCAGCACATCCTTTAGGGGAAATAAGGGATTTCTTGCTCTGATCGAGCAAAGGATAGCAGGACATGATGCACAGCATCCTGAGAAAGTCTCCCTTTGCTTTTCAAATTGTTTTACTTGTATATGAAAAGGTGGCTAGGGGGTGCACCCTAAGAGACGTGCATACCCTGAATCTACCAAAATAGGAAAAATTCACATTCAGGTGATATTTAGCTCACAGTTTTCAACAAACAGCACTGCTCCAGGCAGAAATTGTCATTTTAGTGCAAGTAACAGTGATGTTTGGCAATCTATATTTATAGCAATGTCTGCTGCCTGCAGAAGAGGTGAATGAACCATTCAGGGGGGTAGAAAGCTGCAAATTTTAAGCTTAGTTTTGAGTAATTTTGTAGCAATGCAAACAAAGCAATTTAGAATAGAATGGTTGGTGTGATATATAAGAACAACAAGAGATGTTCCTTGCATCAGGAATATTCCTGTGTTCACTCTTGCTCTCAATGGTCTCTCAAAGATTCCTCAGGAGATTTTTTTGGACT